CTTTTCTCCCATTCTTTTATCTACATTCCTTTCCCCCTTGAATCTCATAAATGAGTTGAGATGCTAATAGTTTCATGGACCAGTACCATTCCATGAAGAAAGCTGTGGTCTTCTATAATAAAAGCTCCCACTATTGAGAGCCCCCAAAGGATGTTCCTTCACATACATCCTTCTGACAAATCCTCACAACAATCTGGTGAGGTAGGCATGATTTCCATCTTAAAAATAAGGAAACTGAATATCAGAGAAGTTAAATTACTTGCCTAAGGTCCCTTAGCTAAGCTGATGGTGGAGCTGAGAGCTGACTCTAGGCCTTGCGATACTGCAACAGCTAAAACCATCTCAGAAAGGCATTCCAGTAAATAACATGTAGTTTGAGGGCTTGCTTTTGTGAGCCAGCCCTATGTCAACATCATACCTATTAGAATATCATACAATAGCAAACTAATACACATTCCTCTGTCTTGTCAACTGCCATCCATAGTCCTCACACGCTATCAAAAAGTGCCCCTTCATTCTGGACTTAAAATAACTCTGTATGTCTTCATCCTCTTGAGTCATGGCTGCCAACCCTTCAATCTTGTCAGCAGCTGCCTCACATCAGATGTGCTGACAGTTTCCTTTAAACAAGTACAGACTCTTCTAGTAAGGAGTGGTGGGAGCTTTGGAGATTCTTGTTTCCATGAGAGAGCTTCTTAGGGTTTTTTGTTTTATGTGTGCATTTTCTGACAATGTATTTTATTGTCTGGCTGGCCTGTTTACCCTTAAAACCCAGACTGGTGATTCTTCTAATAATGCAAAGGAGACACCTCCTTTCCTACTTTTGGGACACCAGTGATATGAAATGGCAAATGAATATACAGGCTGATCCATAGTTTACACTGACTCCTGTTCTTGCAGTCTGGGAGCAATAATATACTTGATTTTAATCTTAGGTCTGCAGTAACCAAAAATGTGACCTTGGGCAAGTCTTTCCATTTCTCTGAGGAGATGGAACTTAGTCTCTTTGCAGATATAAATCTGTAATTCTTTGCCTAATCACTTCTTCCACCTTCTGTAGAATATTATTTGTGTATTGCAGCCTTCAGGGTTTTCATAAAGTGTTTTGTCACTAGGACTCCTGCAAATTGCTAGAGAAGTATAAGCATTAGATCAATAATGGACCTTGGAGAACCTTTGATCCAATCCTTGCATTCTGCTAACAAAAAAACTAAAACCCAAGGAGGTACAGGAACTTGCCCCAGCCCATGCAAATCCAAAACCAGAATCCAGGATTCAGCTCCCACTGAATGGCCTCTGTTTTTCCTGGGGTTTCCAGTCTCTGGGTCAGAAATGGACCTTGATATTCACAAACCAACTCTGCTTCCTTTTTTTTTTTTTTTTTTTTTTTTTTTTTTTTTTGATGGATTCTAATTTATTCAGTATAATATAGCCACTCGACAAAAATGTGTGGTCAGGTTTTTTTTTCTCAGCAAATTTACACAAAATTGGAGATACTTTCTCTGGTTGAGAATACATTGATCAGAAAACGTGCAAAATTTCAGGCATTCAGAGTAAAGTGCCTTGTTCAAAGTCATCAGAAACATGAGGGGCAGAGCCAAAACTGGAAGTGGAGAGCTCTAGAGAGACAACTGGAAGATAATGGATGGTGACAGGCTGACCATACAGTCTTTCTGGCTTCCCAGAATCCAGATGGACTCCCCACACTGTCAAGTTGATTGATTGAAGCCCCAGTACTAAGATAGCCACAAATCCCCAACACATGGACACAGCTGCACATTTGTCTCTAGGAGGATCTAGGTCAGAACATAACTTTCCCTCCTGCAAGCCCAAGTAGAGTTGCCACAGCCAAAGAGGAAAACAGAACCCCAATAAGGGAGTTTCATGACTGCTGGGATATAAGCAGAGAAAACGGAGGCAGACAGAAAAGAGAGCTTGCATTTGCTTTTCCTGGGGTTTCCACTGTCTCTTAAACAAAGCTGACCCTAGGTACAAGCTTGCCCTTTTCTTATCCCAACTTCCCTGGTTATAAAATACATGTTTGGCAACTGCCCTGAAAGTTATTAAAGCTGCAGCAGTAAACTATGGGAGGCCAGAGAATTTCAGACAAAAGTTATTGCATCAGTAACTCAGAAACTAATTCCTAAAACTCTTGACACATTTATCCAGAGGGCTAGTGCCAATATAGAAATGGAAATCATTGTCAAGGGCCACAGTGTACCTGGATTAAAATCCATCATTCCTCGCAGCAGAGAGCTATGATTTTGGCAGAATGTGAATAGTCATGCATTTCTCCACCATCTTTCCTCAAAAAATAAGATTCTTTCTTTTTCAGAAGAACAAGAAAAATTCTGTTCTCTTTGTCTCGTTTGTTTTTTTCTTAAGAACCCCATGTTTACATTTTCTTTTCAGATATTTCTTTCTTTGACAGCTCCACATTTAAACCGAAAGGCCTCCTTTACCTTATTCAATTGCACTGGTTTTATTTTGGATAGAAATCCTGCTGGGTACAGTAACAGGGAACAAACTTTACAACAGCCATAATCCCTTCTACAGCATCTATTGTGGGGAAACTTAATACACTTGTATTAAATGGCTGAGGCATTGGCTCCAGTGATCTGAATTAACTGCAGAAGAGCATAGTTTGAGAACAAAGCTACCTTCTTCACTTAGCACATTCCTGCTGTATGCCCAGCAACATGGCAGGACTGGAGACTCAAAACTGCCAACCAAGAGCACCCCACTGAAAGACCACTGATTGCCTTAGGCAATGACTTCATCACCAAAAGGTAGCAAAGACAGAAAAGATTTGACAGGATCCAGTGTTAACAAGCAGTTGGAGAAACGGGCTTTCTGACTCACTGTTGGAGGACTGACAATATGCTCAGAGTTTTCAATGTACACACACTTTGACTCGGGTTCTAAGAATTTGTCTTAAGGCAGTTTTACAGAAGCATACGGGGTTAACCTCAGCATGATAATGAAAAGGAAAATTCAGAAGCAATGCACAAATCATTAAATATGCAATCATTGAACTAATCATGCAGTCTATATTTATTGTCTCCTGACATACCATTGAATGGCAAAGTCCAGTCACAGAGAGCATATGTAGGATGGTCTTGTTTATTCTTTTTCTTTTATTTTTTTAAAATTTTTTAAATGTTGATTTATTTTTGAGAGAGAGACAGAGACAGAATGTGAGCACAGGAGGGTCAGAGAGAGAAGGAGACACAGAATCTGAAGCAGGCTCCAGGCTCTGAGCTGTCAGCACAGAGCCCAGTGCAGGGCTCGAACCCACGAACCGTGAGATCATGACCTGAGCTGAAGTTGGATGCTCAATCGACTGAGCCACCCAGGCGCCCCTTATTCTTTTTCTTTTTAAATTTTTACTTAAATTCTGGTTAGTTAACATACAGTGCAATATTGGTGTCAAGAGTTGAATTCAGTGATTCTTCATTTACATACAGCAAGATAGTCTTGTTTATATAAAAGCGTAGCTAAAAGGTTACAGAAGTGTTGACAACAGTTATCTCTGGATAATGAGGTTCTGGGTGACTTTTACTTTCCTTTGTTACCTTTCCTGAATGGGTGGATTTTTTTAAATTTCTTTTTATTTTGAGACACAGAGAGAGAGAAGAGAGCAAGGGAGAGGCAGAAAGAGAGGGAGAGAGAGAGAGAGGGAGAGAGAGAATCCCCAGCAAGCTCCTCACTGCCAGCGCAAAGCCTGATGCAGGGCTTGACTTTACAAACTGTGAGATCATGACCTGAGCCAAAATCAAGAGTCAGGGACTTAACCAACTGAGCCACCCAGGAGCCCCTTTCATGTTTTTTACTGTGAGCATTGCTTTGACTTGTGGGAGAAGGGGTGCTTTAAAAAAATTTTTTTAGCAAAAAGCTAATCTTTCTCTAAATTCCTTTGCACTTGTACTTTCCAACCTACCTATGGTCTTACATAATGGTAGGACAATATGAAACATTGTGAGGAGTTCATGGGTATATACATATGTCAAAACTCATTAATTCATACACTTTAATTCACTAAACTATACATTTTAGGGCATGCAATTTGTATATTAAATATACTTCAATAAAACTGTTTTTAAAGGAATTTAAAAGAATATGTAATTTACTGTATGTCAAATATACTTCAATAAAACTATTTTTTAAATGGAAAAAAATATGAAATAGTCCAGGTAATTCACCCACTATGCAAAATTGTCAACATAACTATACATATTTTAAAAAAACGGAATCAATGGTGGGAAGTAAATTTGATGTTCCAATCAGTGACAGGAGGCTATTCCAAGAGGTTAATAGCATGAGTGAGGTGTAAAAAATGTTCATTCAGCTTATTCTCTGTTCTCCGGCGGTGTCTGTGTCCTTGAACAGAGATGGCTGCAGAGCTCACCATTCGACCTACTTCTATCTTCTTCTGTTTGCACCTTTTTTGTAGAGTTCACGCCAATCTTAGGTGCCTTTTACCCCAAAGTACATGCTTCGGTGCACTTTAATTTTCCTGCAGTAAATAAATAGCCCTTGCTAGCTTCCCTTAAGCAACCATATAGCGAACTCAAGGGTTCTGAGACTTTGAAATCAGAAAAAAATCTGAAAAACATTCTTCCCAGAGATAATTATGAATACACCAATAAACCTTCACTCTGCTGACAGGTTTTCTTAAGAACATATATTCTTTTCCTGTAAGACTAACCTGCTAATATAGCCCAAAGGTCTGCAATTGCCTGAAAGAATATGACAAAAGGAACACCGGTGGCCACTGGCCCCAGTGGCTTTGAGAAGTGGGTCTCTGAGTTGGTGGGACAAGAAAGAAACAAATGTGTGTGTTGACGTCAGAATCGTGGTTCTCAGAGCCCCTGGGGTCGCATCTGTTGGTGCCCACAAAGAGCATGGGCCCTGAAATCATTGCAAGCTCTGTGCAGGTTAGGCCTGCTTCTCACCACTGTTTCTCTATGTTCTTCCCCTCTGTTTTCCAATGCAACCAGTTGGACAGTGCTTCAGGGAAGAATTGGGCGACCAGAGAACCCATTCCGAGTGGCCCTGGAATACATCTCTAGTGGAAACCGAAGCTTGTCTGCAGTGGACTTCTTTGCCCTGAAGAACTGCAGTGAAGGTATGTGAATCTGGCTTTCCCCTCCACTTTTTGGTAGTGTGCTGTCTTAAGTGTGTTGATAGCCTGCCACCATGATTAGCTGGGAATGTGCTTGTTTATACAGTGAAGTCTGTGGTGCCTTGGAGCTGGTTCTGAATATTACCAAGTACTCCATTCCCCAGCTGATGGATTTTCAAAGACTGAGTATGACATTATATCTGCTTACCTTGAAACTTCGTCAAACAGAATAGTCTTTGTTAGAGAACATATCAGCTTAACTTCCCTGGCTGCCAAATGCTTTCAGCTACATTGTTTTGTTTTGTTTTGTTTTTTACTGTGGAAAGTTTCAAATGTGTACAAATAAATAGAATAGTACAATGACCCCCATATACCCTCAACCCAGTTTCAATTGTTATCAACATGCTGCCATTTTTATTTCACCTGTATCTCTACCTACTCCTCACCCTACCAACTTGATAGTGGTTATTATTTTCTTCTTTTTTTCCTGAGTCAAATTGCATGAATAATTATTTTTAATGACTTGATTTCTGCAATTATTTAGGGGAAACTTGGGAAATGGTTTTATATGAAATCTTTTGCTTATTTTGTAAATACCATGAAGGTATGGTCCACTCGATCGTTGAATTCCTTTTGTGTAAGTCCCACATTGTGTATTTACTCAAGATTTATTACCAAGAAAAAGCATCTCTCTCCTAAAGAATGCTTTGTTGTTGTTTTTTTTCCTTTTGCCTTTGTTGCCAGGAAACTCTGAACTCAATGTAGTACTTAATCCCAGTAATTACAACTGTATGTGTTTTTGATAAACTTATTTCCCCTCCCTCTACAGAGTTTTTGACCTTCTACTTTTATTTTCAAATCATATCTCATATGTATCTTTCATTAGCTATTGCTTCAAGTCTGATTAGTAAGCAGGAAGAAATGAATCATCAATAGATAACATGAGGTTGATCTTTCCTTGATTGTTTAGAAGACCTAGCATCATAATTATCAACATCCTTTATTGTTTCCCTCATGTAGAATGTATAGGAGATGGGATTGAATCATACAATCTTCAGGAAGAAGTTGCTTTCATTACTGCTATTCTGCTGTGCCTGCCTCTGACCAGAGGTTCACTGGGAAGGAAGGTCTCAGGTGTGCCATGGAATCTGTGGTCTAAGAGGCCCAAGGATAAAGTATGGAGAGGAATGAAGTCTGTGGCACTCCCAGACCTAAATTCTCAATTTAGACTGTTCATAAACAACCATGAAGGCCCATAACACCCAGCAATCTGTTGCATGCAGAAAAGCTCAGCTTTAAATCACAGGCCTCTTAGAGGTGGTGTATGTACGAAGGGAACTCCCTTAAGAGACTACTGACCAGCCAGTTTCTTATGCTGTTAGGGGTCTTCATTCATTGCTGGTCTTGTAAGAACTTTCACAAAATGGTTTTCTTTTTCCTTTAATGAAAACTGGTTTATGTGTGAGAAAAAGAAAAATCATCATAATGTGATAGATTGAACTTCAGTTCAAGTTGAAAAGGTGGTTAACCTGTGATGTGAAGCAATGTATAAGAAACATGTGGTTTGGGAGAAAGCCAGAGCTTGTACAAATGTTTCCACATTCACAAACTTGGGGATTTGTGAATGGCTCTGGACACCATCAATCCTCACAGATGTCAATGTCTATGTACTGTCCAAAAGAGACCATCTATTGAAATGGAGCCAGTTAACAGGAATGTGACAGGGAGAAGGTATCAGTTCCCAGAATTGGCCTAATCTCATTTGAGTAATGTGAAAAGAAGGGAACAGGAGGCAAAAAACGCCAGATATCTGGTCCAGCCCAAATAATGTTGCAAAAATTCTTTGTACGTCTGAGTCAAGGATCTGAAACAAATTTTTCCTCCCTTACCCCTATGACTCCATTTAACCTAAAAAATTCTTCCTCTATATCTTATGTTGCATTTGCAGTGAGTTTGTTTCAGGGTTTAAAAGACCTGTTTCTTGTCTGCTTCTCTACCCTTATGAAACCAAGAGAGTTGACCTCTCTTGATCCAAAAAGTATGTCTTCTGACAGGTCACTTTTTTAGAGGAAGGAGGAAAGAAGTCTGCTTCTAATTCCCTAGAGCAGGTAGATTGGCCAAGAGACCTAGGAAGGTTCTCATGTCCCAGCTACCTTCCTTCAGAGACTCCATGTATAAGAACAGATGCTCCATGGAGAGGCAGATGTTCTCTGCACCCCTTCTCTGACTTGAACTCCTGTGGCCACCAAGGGGTATGAAGGGATAAGTATGGATGTGTAAAGCACAGAACAGAGAAAAACAAAGTAATTCCTGTGCTTCCTGGGAACTTATAATTTTCCCTCCCATGGTAGAACAATTCAGGTGCACATCAGTTGGTATGGACAAGTTGCAGACATAAGAAGCATCCTACAACTACATTCCTGTTTTTAAATGGAAGGAGTTGTTTCTGAGGTACACTCAAAGCCTATTTGATATAGACAAATGTCTGTGTTTTCTTATGTCATTGCTTTGGTTTAGGTCATGAAAGGAAGGAAATAAGGAGAGTAGTATTGTCTTCGAGAGAGTGAACAGGGCTGGTGGCATGTTAGCCAGGGTTATAGATAGGTCTACAGCATGCCTGGTCTATTTTCTGATGGTAACTTGGTCCCCTCCTGATGAGGCACAGACAGAATATTAAATAAGAAACATCTGTAGAACTCTACAGCTCTTCCTTGGCCTACATGAGGAGAGGTGCCATTTTAGTTAGTATGGAGAAGACTTACAGGGGATGTTGGGACAAATTTCCCCATATAGGAGATTATACTTATTTGTGGATGTCATGGGCTGAGTCCATACCTCTTTCCTCTCTTAATCCTGACAGCTATCACAGTGTGTAACACTTAATAGGTGCTCAGTTAATAAGCAATAAAAGTTAACATCAACAGAGCACTTACCATGCACGAAGGGAAGTGCTGATCCTTTCACATGTGTTATCTCATGTGAACTTTACACTAGTGCTATAAAGCAGGTTCTATTATCTTATTTTACAGATGGGGAAACTGAAGCTCACAGAAGTCTCAAAACTTGCCCAGGTCATTCAATTAGGGAAAGATAGAGCCAAACTCAATCCCAAGTCAGTCTGACCACCAAGCCAGTGTTTCTGTCCACCACATTCTATCACCTTTCTAGACTGTGTAGAGGAAGAGGTTTTATTTATTACCAGAAGATTTAGATTTATCTTTGACTCATCCTCCTCTCCCTACATCCAAATGGCCAAGCCCTGAGCTTTAGACTCATGGCTGCCTTACATCCTATCTGTTGCTATCTAGATGCTACTGTTGTTGTCTCTTGAATTTACCCTTATGACTTCATTTCCACAACAACGTACCTTATCTGGGCCTTATGCTACACATCCCTGGGCTTTGGCAGTAGCCAGCTAGTCTGGCTGATGCCATTATCCATCCCTAACATATTGCCACACCAATCTGCCCAAAATTCCCTTTCTTTGTGGCACTTTCATGACATCTCAGTAACTTCTTATTGCCTCACACATCAGAAATATGAGGGGGCTAGACTGGGCCACCTCACTCATTCCTGGGTCCAGGAAAGTGATGGGCTGGGGACCACCCAGCTGGTTAGTGATAGAGCTGGGAGTGACATCAGAGCCATCTCGACTCCAGCCTCAGTACTTTCACCATTGTTTAGTCCTGCCTGGAAAGCCTGAGTGTCTCTGCCTGACTTCCAAGCTTCTTTACAATCTGGCCTCAGGACCTGTCCAACGTTATGCCCTCTGTTTTCCACACCTCCTGCCCTCTAGTCAGACTGGTTTTCTGTCCACTGTACCAGGAATGGCCACCTTGGTCCCAGCTCTTCCATTTTGAATGCAGACTCATCATTTAGGATCCAGTTTAGGGCCCGAACCCTCCAGAACATCATTCATAGATACAAAAATCTTTCTCAGAAAGCTTTGCTATTACATCTAAATTTAGCATCTATTTTATAATCCTTTCCAAGTTAGTTATTTTGGGACCCTAACTTGAGGTTTGGGATCTTGTCTTATATTTCTTTTATTTCTCCAGGGGGCATGTAACACAGTGCTAAACACATAGAAAACACTACGTAAATATTTGTTGACTGATTGTTAGTTAATCATTGATAAATGCTGCTCCTGCTTTTATAGCTTTGGGCTATTAGCCTATTATTTCCAAAAGAAGGTAGCAGTGAATGTAAATTTGTTAGAAGAGGTTTTTTTCCTGATGTTAAAAGAAAAATAGTTGATAAATTCGTCAATGATGGGAGAGATATCAGCCTCCAGAGACACCCATGCTTGGGCTTCCAGGAACCCTTCACCCATTCACAAAGACTTTTCTTCAGCAGACAAGCCAAAGCAATAGAATTGTGCAGGATACTCATCAGGACTCCATGTGTTCAGAGGAGTCTACAGAAAAACACGTCGGAAGGGGCAGGACTAGCTTCCTGAAAATGATTTGTAAAAACACTGTGCCTTTTAGCAGCTCATAAGAATATACCCCAATGTTTATAGCAGCACTTTCAGCAATAGCCAAATTATGGAAAGAGCCTAAATGTCCATCAACTGATGAATGGATAAAGAAGATGTAGTTTATATATACAATGGAATACTACTTGGCAATGAGAAAGAATGAAATCTGGCCATTTGTAGCAACGTGGATGGAACTGGAGAGTGTGATGCTAAGTGAAATAAGTCAGGCAGAGAAAGACAGATACCGTATGTTTTCACTCATATGGGGATCCTGAGAATCTCAACAGAAGACCAGGGGAGAGGAGAATGGTGGGGGGGTGGGGGGGAGTTACAGAGAGGGAAGGAGGCAAACTATAAGAGACTCTTAAATACTGAGAACAAACTGAGGGTTGATAGGGGGTGGAGTGAGGGGAAAATGGGTGATGGGCATTGAGGAGAGTACCTGTTGGGATGAGCACTGGGTGTTGTATGGAAACCAATTTGAGAATAAATTTCATTTAAAAAAAAAGAATATAATTGCAAA